CCACCCTGAAAAAATCTCACCTGTGCCTCTTCCCATTTTATTTTTCTTGAATTTTTCAAGAGGCTACATTTTTTGGACCAGTTGATCAAGAGGAGTGCTGGTTTCAGAAAAGTCTGGTTGTTATGTTTGCAAGAATGTTTTAGTGTTCTGAATTTTGTACAAAATATCTCAGCTTGTTAATTGTATAATGTAGATGTTTGTTGTATACAATTATAAGAAATGTTTCTTGAGCAGCGAATCAGCGTATTAGAATGATTTCTAAAGGATCCTGTGACATTAAAGACTGGAGTAATAACTGCTGAAATTACTTTTTAAATTGTAAAAAATATTTGTTTTTACTGTACTTTTTATCAAGTAAACGCAGCCTCATAGAGTAAAACAGACTTATTTAAAAAAAAACATTTTTAATCTTAATTATTCCAAACTTTTTTCAACAAATATGAATAAATACTGTAACAAATATATTGCTCATTTTTAGTTAATGCATTAATGTTAACTAATAAGACCTTATTGTAGAGTGTTAGCAATGAATTAATATAATTTACATATTAAGTATTTATATTCATTTAATTATATACGCCTCTCTCTCTCTCTCTCTCTCTGAAAATGTTACATGTAGTGCTTCAGTAGTGTGTTCCTGCTACAAATCTCCAGCAGTTTAGTATTACACTTTTCCTATGGTGTTTTTCAGTGCTATTCTTTTAGCTGTATTTTCTTTTGTTTAACAACAACAGGTATGACAAGCCATGTGCCATCTTATCACATCATTCTACTGTATCGCCTAAAGTGCTAGTTCTGTACTTTAGGATTTTGCTGGAGTATCAGCACTGGCCCAGTGCATCCCTTTAATGTGTGAGACAAGGTGAGAGTCCAGCTGGGGAAATTACAGAGCCAGCCGCTGATTGAACCACTGATGGAGACCATTTGAGCCATAGCGCTGCAGCAGGAAATTGAATTACCCTCACAATCTGTTTGTGCTGTATGTGCATCCCTCTGTTGTTCAGTTACCTCTGCCATGTGTGTGTGTGTGTGTATGTATGTTTGTGGAGACTGTTTTCGATTACCTCGCTGAATGTGTGAAATCCTCCTGATCTGCTCTACGGTTGCACGCGCCCGGATTTAACCATGTCACACCCACAGGATATTACCTCTTTTATGGTGTGTCACATGATTGTGAGAGGCTGCGCCCACAAACTGGGAAAGGTTTGAGATATGAGATGATGCCTGAAGGCTCCAGACCTACTAAGCCTGGTTATTAGATTGAAAGTGATATTCTTCGGTCACTTTGTACCCCAGTTCAGATGATGGTTTGCACTTCCAACCTCACATTATCCATACTAAAGCTAGATCCTCAAGATCAAACTCCATTTTTACTCCACAGCATAGATAGCATAAAGCCTACCCTGGTGAAAAGACCAGCATGAATTTTCTTGCAGTTTGCCAGGAATACTGGTGCTGGTTTTGCTAGTTAAGAAGTCTGATGGGGACACCAGCACACATTGATCTAAGGCAATGTCTACATTAATCCAGATACGTTTGAAAACAGTGTTTTCATTTCAAAACACTCTCTGTCCACACTAGTGTTTTCAAACATTTCCTAAAATGATGGAAAACATAAAAATAATTCTTAATGTGGTTTGAAAGTGACTTCTGTGTGAGATGTGCTGCATATATTACTTTTGACAATAGACAATTGACCTTTTTTGTCCACAAAACTTACCTAATGTGACTATCCCTTTAGGGTTGCCACGGCGGCCGCTATTTCTGGCATTAGCATAAAATATCTTCTTCTATGCACGTTTTTTTCTTTCAGGTCAACTACTTACAGAGCAACAGTTTGAAGAGAATCTTGCTTCGCAAATTAGCTTAATTTGACATGTTTACATTTATAGCTACCTGAATAATAATACTGCTTAAGGTTATGGTTACAATAATAATCTACTGTAGTTGCAAAGACATTTGAAGGGATCTCTACTGCCCCCTTGAGTACTGAAGGTTATTACCACTGACACGAGCACACTTTTAGTATGGCATTTCTGTGTAAAGAATATTACTGGCTTAATCCTGTTGCACATAAATAATTAGTAATAGACAAAAGCAATTTACTAAAGCAAACAGCTGTGTTTTTCCACTCTGACTTTGGCATGTATCCAGTTTGCATTTTTTTGTGGCTGAATATGGCAAAATACCTTATCCAGATTGGAATAAACAGGATGCAAACATGTGCTGATGTGGGAGATGCGGGTTTAAATCCAGCCCATTTGGCTCTTTTCACCCCAATCTCCTTTCAATACAATGACAATAAACATTAAAACTATATATGTGTATTCCAGCTCTGGTGAAGCTCATATAATGCAAACAGTTCAGAATTATGTTTATTTTCGCAATCACTGCTTCTTATACCATAAACCCTCAGCAGTGCACTTCTGCTTATTTAAGCAATCAAGAACGTTTACCTCATTGTTATTCTGTACGCAGCCCATTAGTTATAATTAATCAAACCAAACAAATGGCAGAAAACAATAAAGTCCATTGTTGTTTTTTTCATAATCAGACAGCTAATTAATTTGTATGAAGCCAACTTTCCGGCTTTCTCTCCAGTAGGGAGAAAGACATGGAGGAACATGGAAATTTCTACTTCTCACTACGCTCACTCCAATTAATACAGAAATCCATGTGGAACGGAATATTGTTTGTTGCCATTTGCGCAATGAATTATTCATGTTTTTGTTGTGGGAGTGTTTTGTTGGTAGATACATTTCTTTGCATCATCTTCTTTCTCATTCTGTCTCCCTCTGTTTGGTTTAACAAGACCCAGCAGAATTGTGCATTACTTCTGCACTTAAAATGAAACTTTAGTACATTTGCTTGTTCATTAGTGCAATTTTAATTATATTGGCTGGGTATTGTTAAAAGAATGTGTTCAGTAATGTGTTGCAGAGGATCTTCTGAGACCTTGCGGTTCTATCACATTGCTACAAAACCCAAGCGGCAAGATGTAAAGAAGAACTTGCACGGTTCATTGGAAACATTCACAATGGCTGTAGTTTGGGTATTTCTTGCTGTGCGCAGGCAGTGACCGAAAACACTATTGAACAAGAAACAGAGTAATCTGTGTTTTCAGAGAGAGAAATAAATTGCGATGACCTTTCCATTTCAAAGATGTATGAGAGAACGCATGTATAGTCATCTAGCTAGAGTGATTTAAATACATAACGGGAGCGCGTGACTCAAGGGAACAGACAGTGTATAGACAGAAAAGGCTGAATGGGTCCTTGTAATGCTGCAAATGTTTTATGAAATTATTTTCTTCAGGCAGATGCTGCTTAATTGAACCTAAACGCGTGTCTGCATCTCGAATGAATCATCAGTGGAGGAGAGTTTCTTAGTTCATTATTCAAATGAAAGAAGATTTCTTTCAGGGTAGAAGCAAGTTCCTTGATGTTTTACAGTTGGCTAAGTTTGCCCTGTATGTGCTGGGAGTAACAGTGATTGTTAGTCATCTCCTGGTGAGCGCTACAAGGTTTAGGCATGGGCGAGAGTTCAGACACAGCGTTAGAGTCTGCATCCTTGCCAAAATACCCAGATTGTGTGCCAATGAGTCTGCGTGAAGCCTTGGGGAGGAGAGAGGAACTGCCTGAATTCGCAGCAGTGGGGGATGTGATACTGAATAAATGAGAAATTGTTATTCATGTAAAATAAAGCAACATTGTTTGGAAGACCTACAGCACTCTGGATTTTCTCTGTGTGTGTGTGTGATTTTTTATTTTTCCCCCATGCAGAAGTTTTGAAACATGGATAGCATACTCGCAGATGAAGGAATGCATGAATGTGGAGACAAAACTGTAGTTCAACCAGAAGAAGATGCAGTCAGTTGAGCTGGCTAGTTGAAAATTGAATTCGCCTTTCCTAATTTTGTATAGAGAGGGAATTGGAACTCCTGAAATGTGAAACAAAAAATAAAGGGATAAACCTTGGAAGAGTTGAAGGTTTGAACGTTCAAGAGCAGGGTTATTCTCAGTTGTTAGCATTATATCCTAAAGTATAATGGCACACGCAAGAGTGTTAATATTGGCTGTGATTTGGCATTAATACATTACTATTACTGTTAATAAACATTTTTGACACAATGTTGCCAGTTACATTGTGTCGTTTTGTTCCTGAATGAATTTTTTTTCTTTTCTTTTAAAAATAATGGAATGATTATTTTATTCCTACAGAGATTCACTTGTTTTCTTCCTGAATGAATCAGTGTTTTTGAATGAATTCATTGAAAGAACATTTGAAATGTCTCACTCATGTGGGAAGTGACTTGATTTGTTGCTCAATGAATCAGTTTATTTGAACAAATTGGTTGAATGAATGATTCAGAAGATTCATTTATTATTGAATCAGTGTGTTTGAAAGAAAGGGGTAAATTAAAGATTGGACGACTCACCGGTTTTTTTTGTTGTTGTTGTTGTTGTTTTTTACAATCAAACAAATCTGTTTTTGAATGAATTGGTTGAATTAACAATTCAATGACTTGCTTATATTTCAGCCAATTGAATGAAATAGAGTCTTTGAATATGACTGTTGAATGATTCGAATGACTCAATACCCAGCTACAGTAGCAAAATTGTTGTTAATCTAACCCAGGGGTAGGCAAGCTCGGTCATAGAGAGCCGCAGTCCTGCAGAGTTCAGCTCCAACCCTGAAAAAAAAACTCACCTGCCTATAGCCTTAGTAATCCTGAAGACATTGATTAGCTTGTTCAGGTGTGTTTGATTAGGGTTGGAGCTGAACTCTGCAGGACTGCGGCTCTCTAGGACCGAACTTGCCTACCCCTGATCTAACCTGTCTCTGCTCTCATTGTGTCTTAATATGTTATATTAAACCCAATGTATGCATATTGTCAAAGTTTGTTGTACTGCATCCTGTTGATTTTTTGCTAATATCTGAGTTGTGTATAAAAGTTGTTCTCATTTTCTAACCATCTCTCTGTTTTCTCTCACTTGTAGATACCCTGCTGTCATCTGGCCATGGTGAGTACTTGAGAAATATGTTCCCGGATACAGCTCTGCATGACTCTGAATATGCCAGATCTCAAATGTGATTATTATTTTTCAATGTTGGTCCGCAAGCATGCGTGACTCCATCCGAATGGAGCATCGCTGCGGCAGCAGATGTACATCTTATTTTCTGAAATGCATACTTTCGGGTCTGTTGGCTGACACAGAGAACCCAATCTTTGTTAGTGATTACTGAAGACTCACCTCTGCTCCCTCGGTTCTGTTCTGAGTTTCAGAGCTGGCACATTTTCCCAGCATGCTCGATCAGTCATTCTCGACTCACTTCGGTCAATCACCCCTTGCGGTTCTATTGTTCGGTTCACATGCGTTCGGTCTCTTTTTTCATGTACATTTGACTCAGTGAGGGCAATCTTTAAAGTGTGTTTTTGCTATTGAATTTATGCTGTTATATATTCTCAAATTGCCTCCCATTTTTAGCAAAATGGAGCGCAGGAAGTGTCACGCATGTGCTGGATATAATGGACTGTGTGACCAGCATATAGTCCACCTGCAGAGCTGCTAGGGCCGCTGGAAAATAACACCTGTGCTGACCATTTCTGCATCCATTCGAAGATGGAGAGCAAGAGCGAGATCACAAAGGAGGGAAAAAAGTCTTGCAGAGTCTGGGCTTAAAGGGCAGTCCTGTCCTAAACTTGAGCTGTATATGTTTTGCACTCAAAGCACACTTGTCCACAATGCTTTGTGGAAACAAGACGTGGCACTGGGTCTGTTTTTTTCTGTTTACTCTGCACTTTGCCCGAAAATAGGATATGTGCAGGCCAGCAGGGTCTGTATTTCCAGGCCAGCACATTTTAATTTCTTTGCCAGTGCTCTTTTGTCAGACAGTAAGCTGGTACAAATAGTGTGCTGCCCTTCAAGATTTCTGCAAATGCACCATAATGGATAATAATATGGCTAATGCAAGCATTTTGAATAGCTTGAAAAGGATGTAAAAAAAACTCTCTGCAGACCAGAGAATTTCTTTATTTTAAAAAATGAATGCATTTTTCCTGTGTTTGTATGGTGTTAGTGTAAACAAAGCAAAGGGCCATATGGTTGAAGCAATGTAGAAAGATGTTGACGACATCATCCTGACAACAGTAACGGTGACGGTCACTGTTTAGACAGCAGGCATTACTCCTCCGGCTGCTTTACACAAATGTGTTCGCACAAACACGCGCACATTTTCTTCTCCTGTCCAGAGCCATTGTGAGTGTGACTCAAAGTGGTTAGACCTGGTTAGAAAGGTAGTGCATGTTTAATAGCACATATACTATACACTATGCATAAAAAGGATGTAGACTATATAATTAAAATCTAGACATTGCACTGGGTTCAGTTTTTAATGTTATATCATAATAATAATTTAATTTAATAAATAACTGTATACCATACACTGTTTCTGACCTCTTTGTGTCTTTATCATTCTTGTTTACGTCTGGTCGACACATGCTCTCTTTCAGTGTAGTTTACTTGATAAGAGTTTTCGCATCAAATGTCATGATATATTCAGTTATTATAGTCTGCCTTACAAGCCCTGCTCCGTCATGTCAAGGCCTCAGCCGAGTGCCTGTGTCACCTATAGGAGATGCTGGCTCTGCATACACAAAAACTCAAAGTAAACTCTTTATATGGGTGTTTTTGCTGAATGTTGCTCTCATTCTCTCTGTCTCTCTCCTCGCTGCCCCCATCTATTCTTCACTATGAATACCGGTTGATGGCCTAAACTAAAGGAATGAAAGCAATAAAGGAGGCGGGTGTAAAAGAGAGATGGAGGAATGAAGATGAAAGTGTGAATGAAGGAGAACTCTGTGTCCTTGGCCTTTGTGTGGGTCTGGCTGCACTCTGTGTTTTTGATGACAGAAAGCTTTACAGCTGCAGAAAACGACACATTTTTTTTCTTGGATCTGCTTTTTTTCCCCCAGAACAGATTGCATGAGTTCTTTCATTGCCATTTCCCTTATATTTTGATGCCTTATCTGTGGTGGTTTGTTTGGGTCCATTTTTTAAAACCCACTGACAGTGTTGCTAAGATAAGATATGGTGGCTAAAAGTCCCACCTATCAGTTAAATGATGCATTTTTTTATTACTTACATTTTAATACAATATATAAAAATATAAGTGTGTTTAATGGTTTTTTATTTATAATATTGAGCAAAATATGGCCGCCCAATGACTTGCCTTGACTTTGCTATGTTTCACCTCCACTGCAAATTCTTTCTGTCCATTTCTCTTCTTTTGTCTCTCTCTCATTCTCTCTACCCCTGCCCTCACTCTTTCGCAGTTTAATTGGCGCTACCTGAGGTAGGCCTAGGTGTAATTGTTACAGTATAAAGTGCCTTGGTCGGCTGGTTTTAAAGCCTTTTATCTGTAATCTCCCGATTGATTATGCGTTTTTCTGCCAGCCGAGCAAATTGTTCAAACCCATCAGGTGCACGGCGGGGAAAAAAACAGCGAACGAGGAGCTTCAGCTGTGTAACAGCCAAATCACAGAGCACATCGGCTAGAACATCAAATTTAGTGACAGACAACACAATGCTGCTTTTTAGTTTACACACACAGACAAATGAAACACAGATGTCTTCCTCGCTCCCCGTGTCGCTGAGGGTTAAAAATGGAAAAAAGGGGAAGATTAAAAAGTGTGTAATCTGTAATTTAGAAAGAATAGGCCGAGGTGTAATTGTTACAGTATAAAGTGCCTTGGTCGGCTGGTTTTAAAGGCTTTTATCTGTAATCTCCCGATTGATTATGCGTTTTTCTGCCAGCCGAGCAAATTGTTCAAACCCATCAGGTGCACGGCGGGGAAAAAAACAGCGAATGAGGAGCTTCAGCTGTGTAACAGCCAAATCACAGAGCACATCGGCTAGAACATCAAATTTAGTGACAGACAACACAATGCTGCTTTTTAGTTTACACACACAGACAAATGAAACACAGATGTCTTCCTCGCTCCCCGTGTCGCTGAGGGTTAAAAATGGAAAAAAGGGGAAGATTAAAAAGTGTGTAATGTGTAATTGGGGGGGGGGGGGGGGGGGTATAATAAAAAGGAAGTGTTTTTTGTCTGTTGGCATGTAATTTATCAAAACATTATTTATTATTGCAGTGAATGATTTCTACACCGTTATTGCAATTCTGCAGGCAGCTTCACAGTCCACCCAGCTTGATCAATATCTTATTCAACACGGGTGTATTTTTAATACAATACAGTAATGAATGCCGCCACCCAGGGGACTTGGCGTAGCCTCTTATTCTGCATATCCGTCCATATTATTCTGAGCCCTCCTGTTAGCTTGTCATAATGTTAAAAAAATGCCATGGTAGGAAATGCATTAGTCTTGAGTATTAGATTTTAATGCAGTGTTAAGGAGCAAATAAGAGGAACATAATAGCTGAGGTTAATCTGGGTGTGATCCAAAACCAGTTGACAGAAATGAAGATAGATAACTAGAAATATACTGTTCATACTTAGTATGCCAGGGAAAATCCCACCCATTCATTGTTTTTTTCGCTCTCCTTCTGTTTCTCTCCCAGGAGAGCTATATCTGTACTGCTAATAGGTTCACCATTGGAGTGGCTCTCTAGTAGTCATGCAGTGAGGTGAAACGTCCAATCTGGCTGCCTCTGGTGGGAGCAGTGTCCAGACCCTTACCATTAAGTTGGCATTGTGGGATAGAGATCCTGGTTGTAGATTGGCAATGATATGACAGGTGTTGCTTTTGCAATTAGGACTAGTTTTAGTGTGTGTAAGTGTGTGTGAGTCAGGTTTACCTACACTGCAAGGACAAAATTTACCCACAATGATGGTAAAACTTGAATTCACCTACAGTGCATTGTTGGGAGCAGACAATGGTTCCCTTGAGGAAAACAGTGTAATGTTTCAAAGTTTTTTGGATTAAACTTTTTAATGTAGTTTTTTGAGGATTGTGTATTTTAAACACCTGATTTGGGTCTGGGTTTTTTTATGGGTTTAATGAATGTGTAATTTATTTAGTCATTTTATTTATTTAGTCATTTATCAGACGCTTTTATCCAAAGCGACTTACAAATGAGGACAACAGAAATCAATTGTAGTATTAAAACAACTAAAAACAGATCCAAAACTAAAAGCTAAAACTTTTATATATACACACATACACATTTATAAATTCAATATATATATTATTTTATTTCCATTTAGTTTGCTGAAGTATTAAAATAAATCAAATAAAATAAAACTAAAAACTTAATAAAAGACCTATACAGACATAATAAATTCAGACATAATTTAACTAAAATTTAAATAAATAACAATTACAAATAATACAAATCAAATGACAGTAGTTTATCAGTAATCCTAAAAAATAACACTGCCGAACACACATGTTAAAAAACAACAAGTTACTTACACATAGTAAGAAATGGTTATAAAAACTGAAACAGAAGTGAAACAAGTAATAGGAAAGAGGAGAAATAAAAAGCGATACTTCTCCTTTGCCGGTGTCCCTGCCCGGTGGAGTCGCACGGTAGAGTCGATGGTCTTTACACTCTTCGGTCTTCACACAAGGAGGCCTTAACGTAATGGTTGCCGCGTTAAACTAAGCTTTTTTATACACGTCTACCAAAATACTAAATTAATTCAGCTGGACACACTTTCCTTATTTTCTCCACAACAAATGGCCAAGCAAGCGCAGACACTGACAAGATACACGATACAGAACGAGACCAAACATGATGTCAGCACGTCATTTTTGTAATAATTAATAACTAATTTGTGGCATGCTTTCAAACTTACACAGTAAAGACCAGTGTCAGTGCAAATTAATTAAATGGCACTGGATTTATAGCACAGGATTTATCGATCCTCAAAGTAATTTCTGAAAGGTGACTGTGTGAGCAAATTATTACTAGTTAATACAACAGGTATTAATGTGAGTGGTGTTGTGCACTATGCTGTTATTTTGACAGAACTGAGACTTTGAGAATGAATAGTGTG